GTTTTGACGCTGTGCTGTTTTGTCGCGTGCTATTTTGACGCGTGCTGTTTTGTCGCCGTGCTGTTTTGACGCTGTGCTGTTTTGACGCGTGCTGTTATGACCGTGCTGTTTTGTCGCGTGCTGTTTTGTCGTGTGCTGTTCTGTCGCGTTCCCAGTTAGTTAAGAAAAAAAAGTGAAAGCCGTTTAGAACACTCTTAAACGCCGAATGAGAGCGCAGCTTTTGAGGAGGAGGATGGAAGGGTACTAAGGGGAAGGTATACCCCTTCTGCCTCCTCCTCACCTTCCTATCCTCCTCCTCGACTCATTCTTGAATCTCCTCTAGGGGGAGGGGGGGGGGGTACGTGACCTCGGGGGGGGGGGGGGGGTCATGTGACCTGGTGGAGGAGGGGGGTCACGTGACCACGGGGGGGGCTCGCGCGGTGCATTATGGGACATTTCCCATAATGCACCGCCCGGTTACGCCGACGGCGACGGCGACGGCGACGCCGCTCAAGCCGGAAACGGGCCCCTAAGAGCTGCGCTCTAAAAAGGTCGAACTATCAACTACTGTAGCTCTTCACACTTCTAGTTGCATGTCATGTGATTGCATTCCTCTTCAGCATGTCAATTCAGTAAAGTACTTAGGGATACATTTTGATAGCGATTTATCGTTGTCTACGCGTACGATGTACTCGTGTAAACGGTTAAGAAGTGTTTCGTGCTGTCTTTAGCATGTTAAAATATTCATGCCTTTTTCCGTCCGGAAGATTATCACACATGCTTTGGCATATAGTTACATTCGATACGGTATAACCCCATACAGGGTGTTCTTTATTTAGGCGAGATAGAGTTGATTCTTTATTAAAGTGTATCCTGAAAAGTATTGCGTTTGACCAGGCCGAGGTCTCTAGCCCCTGTATTTTTAGAGAATTTAACTTACCGTCTTTTTTGGGGTTATTTAAGGAGACAGTAATATTGCAACACTTTTGAAACTCAAATTTTATAACTCCGTACACCCCAGGCCGACCAATGAGACATTCACTTCGATTTAACATGCCGCGAATTCGAACTAAATATGGGGAACGTACGCGTATTGATTGTGTGCATCATATATTTAACAGCATGACAGAATCCCTATTTGCTGCCACATCAAGACAAAAACTAAAAAAAAAGCACTACAGAATTTAAACCAGTAAACGATTGCTAGATGGTGGTTACTCTTTTCCTTCTGGTTTTTTTTTTCTCAGGACAGTGCGTATTGTTCGGCAGTGTGATGCCGTCTTTCGCTCTTTTTTTCTTGGTCCCTGCTCAAAATTGTTTTCTTTTCCTCGAATAAGTTATTTCGATGGTAAATGAGCATTTTATACTGACGTTACACATACTAAATTTGTCACCTACTGCGTCGAGCCAGGTACACAACACCTGAACGCTTACACCGGCTTATCATTGTACTTTTTGAAAATGTATGTTTTAAAAATAAAACTATTCTATTTTATTCTATCATATTCTATCTTGCAGCATAACCTCAAAAATACGTCTTTTGATGAAAGGCGCAAGAAAACTAATTGTAAAGCTAATTAAACGATCTTTTGTTGTGCACCTGGTGGATGCATGGGGAGCCTATTGGGGAGGTTATCTAGCAACTTTGGGGAACATGCTACGTAGTCATGACGTAGCAAGTTCCATCGGAGCAGCGTCGCTCTTTGTAATTTAACGTTTTCCTACATAGCTTTCCACCTCAACCCAAAAATCGCGCACTATACGAAATATTTCAAGAAGGCAGACCCACATTTGTGTACCAGGACACAGCCATTCTCCCCCGGATGATTAGCGCGTCCCTCGAAATTTGGACAAAAGATGCTTCTCCCACCCCATTCAACCCTAAGCTGACAGTGCTGTGAAAGCTACGTGCTCCTTGGGCAGGCCGACACGCTCTTCACCCCACGGGAACTTCGAAAGGCTCGGTTGTAACGCGTTTACGATATTGACACCACCACAACGCTGAGAAAGCCAGCAACATTAAAGCTCATAACCACGTCAGCCTTGCTACGTCACGAACGCGGGGAATCTTTTTGTTTCTGTTTTTGTTTGCGCCGGTTATCCCATGACGCATCGCGCTCTCTGTTCGCTTCACTTCGAGCGCTTGCTGGAGTGCACCGTTTGGAACGAAAAATATAGCTAGTCGTTAAAAATACAAACGTGCGATTATCATTTACGGTTATTATCCCTTCTGCCTGACTCATTTCCAAACGAAATTTGAATATTTCGATTTTTGTTTCCGAATTCCTTTAAGCACACGTATGCGTGACTAACCTTTTTATGTCACTTCCCCTTGTTAGTTCTGACTAGAGAGTCACCCCCTCGCTTCGTGCTCGTAAATACCGCAGAACTAGTTGATCCCTGGTCTCTGATATTTTCTCTTAGTTCGCAACTACTTAGACGCGATACCAACTTTAAAACAGCGGTAGTTTGTCATGACAGGTGAATACGGTTGAGTAGGTCTCCAGCGATCGTTGCACCATTCTGCATTTCCGGATCGTCTGCAAGCGAAGAACGGTCGGCGGAACCACAAAACTGTTCACCAGTGAAGAAGAGTATTTTTCGCTACGAATATGCGCTAGTAAAAATAGCTTATCGGAGATTTCGAAAAAATCTACTAAAATCGCCTAATATTCACTTCGTGTGAGTTTTGCGAGAGCGACGGATCGCAAATCCGCACTCGCAAGATGTTAGCGCAGTTCAAGCGCAGCTCCTATTACGCCCCCTGGAAGCGTAAAACATGGCACTGCATTAGTCAATCGCAAAATTTCCCGCAGTGACTTCGGCGTCGCTCCGAGTCTTTATCGGGTGATGACCAATCAACCCCCTTGAAGCTGGACCGAATATTACGAATGTTTGCCGCGTTACGCACGCATAAAATGGTGCGCGTGCGTACGACAAATGGACCCCGTAAGTTATGACGTCACAACATGGCGCTCCGCTGCAAATAAACCGTTGCTCTGCTGGCTTGACGCAGAAGTGTGCGGGGCGGGAGCGAAGGGCCGCGCAGAGTGGCGATGAAAACGACCCGTGTGTTCTTCTCGTCTGCAGACTTCAGCAACCCGAGCGGTGGCGAAGATATTCATCGCGACCCACGCGCTGCCTGCAGCGCGTGTGTTGAAAGGTCACGAACTTCTTTATATTTTGACGCATGGTCTGTATACTACATGATTTGCGCACGTTTCGCTCGTTAAATAAGCCGTGCGCCGCAATTCCGCGATGAAAATTCTACGACGAAATATTTCGGGACCGCCAGGGGCGCTGCTGTCGGCAGACGAGTTAAGCGGGGTTTGCTACTTGTGCACCGTCAACCGTGGAGCCAGGTGACACTCCAGTGACGCCCCCTCTCTACGTCACGCATCTCTACCGGTGAGGGCCACGAGGCCTTCTCTTCGCGTTTTGTCGGGTGACGTTATTTTGGTTCGTCGATCGTCAAGCTGACGAACGGGTAGGCTCGGCCGCCGCGAACCGGCGTTTGCGGGGGGTTCACAGTTGGTCGTCTGCAAGCACTGATCTCTATGTCTATTTGATGGATCGCGTTTGACCAGCGCCGCCTATGGACAGGAATGCGGCCACGGTCGGCCATCTTTTTGGTAGAGTTATATTATCATTAGCCATCATAATAATAAGCGGATAGCGTTATAGCGGCATTCTGCCCTAACATAGCCGTGTATCTACTACACTGTACCGTGGGTGATATTCTTTGCTTGATTGAAGTTGTTCGACAAAGCAGATTCTTGAAACCCGGCGTGAATAGTAGCCTCATGTTGGAGAACCCAGCGAAAGTTCTACGAAAGCGCAGTACCAGGGGAAAGCAGCGCAGCTCGCATCTAAAGCAGACGCCGTAGCGGCATCTGCTTTTGAGGCTTTTTTCGATGCGACTTTCGATGCGTGCTGTGCTGCTTTTCCCCGGTGCTGCCATACCGTGAAACTTTCACCGGGTCCTCGAAGATCGGGCTACCGTTCACGTCGGTTTTCAACAATATGCTTCGTCAAACAATTTGAGTAAAGAACGAAATATAACCCGCATCTATTTTGGCCACAATGCTCCTTGCTATGGATGGATGGTAGTGGCTGCACCAGCTGTAGTAAATTCGCTAGAGGTAATATAACTCTACCAAAAATATGGCTTCCACTGGCCGTATCCGCGGAGCGGGCAAACGCGATCCAGCAAATAGACATAAAGATCAGTGTCTGCGAGAGTCTCAGCCTTCCCGCCTGCTTTCCTCCTTGCCACGCGAAAACGCCGCGCATACGCACTTGCGACCACTCTTCGCTGGCGGCGTCTGCCATCCAACACACCCCTTCCTCAATCCCCCAAGCGCCCGGCCCGCACTCGAGAAATTGTGGGAAAGGTGGTTCTTCAGCTTCCTAATGATCGGTCGTTTCGACCTATTCGATGGTCACACAGTTTCGAGTGTAATCCAGAGTCACCCTGAACAAGCACCATGTAGAATACAAGGGAGTGTCTTGTCACTTTTAAGATTTCTCTTCACTGTTAGCGATTTCATTACTGTTCATTCAATCCACCCTTTAACCTGCTTCTGAGAAAAAAAAAGAGAACTAATTATGTCTATGCTAGAAACTAGAGAAAAGATACCTTAGAAGCGGAAAGAAAAATGAGACTATTGCGAAGGGGAGATGACACATGAGTATTTGAAAAAGAAGACCAAACGGCATACAGAATAACGAGTGATGGCTTTGAGGTTTAACTTCTATCATTGAAATTCATCAGGTGAGATAAGAAAAAATAAATAAACGAGATTATATCTTCGTTCATATTTAGTAGATTATTTTAACCTACGAGTAATTCAGGACTCACGCCAGTAAATAAAATATATATCAAGGGTACTCGAACGAAGGCAGTATTATGCTGATGTTTTCGCACCTACTAATTGAAAGACAGCTTTCAATAATGGTATTGTACATAGGCAGAACGCGCAGAGTATAATTATTCGTCCTTATGTTGCTATGTGGTGTAGAGATTGAGAGGCCTCCAGGAAGTGAATAGAGCCGGGGACGTCAAGAAATTTGGATACATCATCCTCGGTGTTGACCTCTTTGCCCCCAGGACCAGCGACGTCTACAGCTACCTGGACGATCTTCTCTGGTACGTTCTTAGATTGCAGGTAAAAAACGACACATACCTGAAAGGCCTCAAACACTGCTGATATATTTAGTTTCCAAAAAAGTATTTAAATAGGCATCATGACAAAGAGAAAATAAACCAAAGAGGGAGACACCAAACACACTCTATGCAAAGCTTAAAAAAGAAATTTATTGACACACCGATAGCACAAAAAACGTCCGGACGCCCACCCCCTCTCTTATCCACTAATCTTCGCTAACTGCTCTTTTCTTCAACCTTTTACACTGGTACAACTAATGGCGAATTCGCGTGATTCTTTCTGCGCGCTCCCGAGCGCTCTTTCCAAAGCGCGCGAGATCGAGTTGTTGAAAGAGAGTGCTGTGGCCTGATCGGCTGGTTCCATTCCGAGGACGCCTCTCCCTCTCAGAGCGCTCTCTAGCACTCCGTCGGTAGCCATCGGAGTGTGGAACGGCGCAGGCGTCACGTAGTACTTGGATGGGGATCACGTGGTTTTGTTGACGATGGCCGGCAGTGGTCTCTGGTGGTGTCCGGGGTCCGCACACCACCACAGACCGTGACGGCTATTGTTATGTGGTTATACACAGTGTTTGTGCATTCGACGGTGCTAGGATTACAACGGACGGGACTACATTCGTTTGCGACAACAACAGGAAAAGTAGACGTGGTAAGTATTCTCAGTGCTTTCACGAGATCGTTCATCTCACGGCGATGAATCCGCTAAGCCTAACCGACGGAGAAAGAGCTCGCTGCTGCCTGCAGGGCTTTTACCGGGTTTTGTGGTCGCTTCAAGAAATTTTCAGGTTTGGTAAAAGTGCGTTCAAAGGTTTGTGTTGCAAAATAAAGGGAGAGCCGAATATAATGCAATGTGATTTGTGTCACATGGTGATATGTGCTATATCCCACTTGCACGATATTTCGCCGTAAGAAAATTGTGGTCTAGTAACCATTTTATATTTGCCTGCTCTGCCGTACGCATGACCGCTATCGCAGCGCGTTCACTGTCGAAAACGCGATGAGTTGACAACTCTTTCCAAGCATTGGCTTTCGTACCGCTCTGCAAAAATGAATTCGCATACAGATGTTTTCTTTTCTTTACATGTGGATGCGTAAAACAGTTTACGTCACAACTGTTATTTCATCACGTTGCGAGCGTAAATTTTGGTCAGTCGTTCACCGTACGCTCTAAAAACTTTTTTTGTTTGTTTTGTAATGCATTACCGATGTCAAGAAGCTTTAATTCTATGACTGATCTGAAAATGTTAGAGCGCTCTGAACCCGGCAGTCGTGATCGGTTGAAAAGGATCCCGAGTAGCTCTGGCGGCGAGGAGGGGGCGCTCTGCTGAATCAAGGTCATAGGAGAGAGGCCACCACCCGAATTCACCATAAGTTCGGCGTCACAATGCAGACCACAGGACATGTCACCCTAGCTTTGCAAACCACAATTAACAAACGAACCCTGAAGGTCACCGCCTTTCAAAGCCCAAGAAACCGTCGTGGTTCAAGGTCCAAGCTAAACGAAGGTTTGCTAACAACATTCCCGTGTTTTTGTCTTCTTAAGGACTGTTTTTTATCAAGGGCCGTAATAACTTATTTCGTGACTCTACGTTGGTGGGTCCCCACAATGACACAATACTGATAAATTGAGTTTCATGTTTCTATACTTTGTGTGGTGTTAAGCGCTTATTTATACAACATTTGAATTGTTCAATATAACATGGGCCGCAATTGAAGCGTATCTTCTTGCGACCGCTGCCGCTGATATAAAAAGTATAGTATTGTAGTAGTATAGTATAGTATTGTAGTAGTATAATATAGAATTGTTCGTTTTTGTTTTCTTCGCACAACCTGTACTTGCTGAAGCGAGGGGATTCATGCGTCTCAGCCTGTAAGCCATGAAAAGGTAGTGCCCATATTAAAGTTGTGGGCTAGCGCATTGTAGTCGAGCTTTTGGTTGCACGTTATAATATCCCCAAGTGGCACAGATGGGTAAATTACTTCCAAAATGTAATTTATTACTATTACAATTACTTTGCTTCAAAAGTAGTTTAACTACATTTACAAATACTACTGCGTGAAAAGTAATTAATTGCAATTACAAATTAGTTTTTAAAATGTAAAGCAATTACTTTTAGAATTACTTATCTCTGAGAGCGACCTGACTTGGGCCTTATAACTTTAAAGGAGTTGAATAAAATGCAATGTATTTGTTATTTCCTTACTTCAATGTTCACGTATTGTACTTTCTTTTTATGCATTTTGTAAAATTCGTGATAGAACTTGACAGTATGGGTCAATGAAGTACTGCGTTATTATATTTTGAATAAATAATATATCAGTTCATTTGCTGGAGTATAATCCAATTAAATGCAAAAGACTAAGTAAGCTGGACAAGAATGGCAAAAATAATCCTTGGAGATGGGGAACAAGGGGGACAAAGGACAAACAGAAATCTAGGTAACTGGTGCACGACCGAAAAAGCGATCAGGCGCCTGGAAGACGCCAGATCACTAAAGGAAAAATTGCTTTGACAGACTTTTATTAGCTAGGCAAATGAAAATTTGATAATTATTCATATTGGAATATTTTAAAAGTGTTAATATAAAAGTGAAATCCACATGCGTAAATACGACCACATTCACAAACAAACATCATGGTATTGTAAACATTAGGTTGGAAATATAATGGCTCAGAAATATAAGTACCAAATCGTGGCTCCCGAATAATTGGTGACAGTATTCACAGGTGCGAGGTCAGTTTCCAAAATGCTTATGCAAATAATATCCGAATTAAAACCAACGCAAAATAAACTTCAAAATAATACAAAGATACGCATGTATGCGACATTACTGAAAGAGGTGACAGATATGCTTCGATCTAATAAAAACAAACTAATTTAATTGTCCGACATGGGGTACAGAATTGTCAACGTCGTTCGGGAGCCATCTCATCTTCCTTCTCTTCTCCTGGTAGTGCAGATCTCGTGATCAAGCCGCCGAGGTCGTGAAAGCCCCAATGCTTTGGTCGCGTGCTTGCTCCCTTTTTCCGGTATCCTCGCGCGCTCTGAATATCTCCAACAAGAGGGACGTAGAAAAATGGCACAAAAGAAAAAAAAATGCCTTCATAGTCCATTAAAATTCCCAACCTCGGCTGAAAGTTTAAGCCCAAATATTTTTCTTTCAATACTCTGGCATGTCCCATGCAAGCTCTCTATGGCATGTCCATGCAAGCTCTCTAGTTTATGTAAAAAAGTCAATCCATCCTCCGACGATAGAACCTTAGGTTTTACCACAAAGCACTACTCCTGTTTTCTTCCATGCTCTAAAGGGGGGGGGGTTAATGCAATTCCTCTCTCATGCGGAAAACTGTATGTCGGGCAGACCGGGAGGTGTCTCAATGACCGGTTACGAGAGCATCATTATAACATAAACAGAATAATATCAGGGAATCCAGGAATCCATTGCCGGGATTGCGGGTGTTCAGCGGACCTGAGTAACTGCACTGTCAATGCCAGAAGTGGTAATCAGCTCACACGAGAGATCATCGAAGCTGAATAAAATAGCCAGGTTGGACAAACAATGTGTTAGTGCATTATTCTTAGCTTTATCAAAGAAAGAACAGTATTATCGAGACATCATAAAAGCACCAATAATGATGAGAAATGTTTGGCTTAATATTTAATTAATTTTTATTAAATTTAATTTTTAATTTAAGTTTTATTTTTTAATAATATTTCTTTAGTTGGCTTTCATTTATATAATTATTAGTTATTTATTAATGTTTATTCCCTCTTTCGTCTCTGGTTTGTAATAATTTAATTTGTTCTCATTGAGGTCGAAGGCGAAGAAATCGGAGATTTGAGGAAGGAGAAATATAGGACTGAGTTGTAAGTCAGCGCTGCGAGTCTGTTTCTTTCTTGTGTGCATGTGAGTGAGACTTCATCCGCGCTGTTCGATCTAGGCATGTTTACGTTATTGTTTTCTTCTCGCACCGCAGACGGCGCTACACGCCGCCGTTGAAATAGGGTTCAAAGAGGATTGTTCTTCAGGCTGTAGTGTAAGCAACAAAAGAGCAACCAATGTGACGCCATTTATGGCGTGTGTGAGTGTGAGTTTGAGTCTGTGTGTGAGTGTTTCACCGAGAGCTAGGCCCCTTGTGCAAACGCTAAGGCTTTCATAGAGGTTCCGTCGGCGCCGCGAAGTTTTGCAAAAGTAATTGTATTTGTGCCTGAAATTTTGCAATTACTTACGCTAGAAAGTAATTAAATTACAGTATCATTTCCTTTTAGCCAAAAGTAAATAATTACAATTACAAATTAACAAGAAAAGTAATTAAGTTGCAGCAATTCAATTACAGTAATTGCCCAAGCATGCCAGGTGGTGGAAATGAATCCTCAGTCTACCACTGGAGCTGCTAGATGCCCGTCGTTTGTTTGGCACGGAAAATCCCAAAATTAGGCTATTGTGAGAACGTTTAGGAAATTGGGGAACAATTACCCGCTTAGAAGGTTTATTAATTTTCTGAGTTGCCTTTTTTGAAGATACGTGACAAAAAACTATCTTAAGATATAATCGCCTCAGAATCCTCCATTTCTTAAAATGAGGGTGAGATGAACCTATCGAATGAACACATGACGTTTGTTCTGCTGCAATAATTAGGTTTTTAATTATTCCTATTCTCATATGCTTTGAGAGGCATCTACCGAAAGGAAGAAGTGGCTTTCGCGGATTTGCCACATTCCCAACAAAGGACTGGATCAGATTTGTGCTAAAGATCCAGGCAATCTATCTAACCATCCTTCGGCCTTTCAAGCATATCTTTAATTCAAAAGCTATCTCAAACACTGACTTCTTTAAAGATTACATCAGAGACACATCTGTAGAACATTCACTAGATGATTCGAGCACCGCGACGGCAACGGCAGTGGTGTATCCATACAAGTTAGGGAGTTCTGCCGATAGGAAGCCACCGCTTTCTGCATGGTTTTATTTTCATTTACGACCCCCAGAAAGGGGAGTGGGT